ATTTTTTTTCAATACTCCAGTTACTTATTTCCTAAAGTATTTTCGTGCCAAATTTCGTGAAATTCTAATGAGTTGTTCTTAAGAAATAGGCATATTTCCGAAATAGCAATTTTCCATTCAATCGCAATTTTTTTACTTACTACGCATGCGCTGCATTTAACTGGGTTCTTTCGGTAACGACGAAAAAGCTGAGAATTGCTGGGTTCTTTGCATCGTTAACTTTCCTAACATGTCTTTGTAATAAAAGATTAAAGCCCTCAATACACTGCGCCAACTATAGAGAAAAATAGCACAGATAGTGCGGATACGTGTTGAGTAAATAAAATGACCACTCTATCTTTGTCGGAAGAGAGCGCTTGCAGCTCTCTGTTTGGGCCTTTTGTTCGATGAAGACGAGGAAAGGCCTCGAAAACGAAATCGGAAAATTTGCATGCGACAATGGATTTCCCGGAGAGAGAGGAGAGAGACGTTTTTCACCAGCCAATTAGAGAGCTTGAAGTGGGGGATGTCGTGGCGTACAAAGAGTTTTTCCGTATGACGAAGGTATATGCGCTGTTAATAACTCTTTATATTTCATTAGAAATCTTCACAAAGTCAAAACTATAACGAACAAAATATCAATGGATAATTTCAGTTAAGGACGAATCAACCATTTCTGTTGACATATGTACTTTCAAGGAAAGAATACCGCAAAGAATGATAAATAGTGGGAGTATTTTTAATGATAAACTATTACGTGCTAAGAAGTTTGAACTGTACTTGTACACATGAATTAATTTTCCTTGTATTCTAGAGAAGTCATGGAGTTTCTGGTTCAGCTGCGCTAAATGCCATACTTTAGATTTTTCATTAAGCTCAGTTCACTCTAAAGACTTGCGCGCAAAAAGAAAGTGTTATTCTTGGTAGAGGGGACCATCTCACCTGCATGAACGGTGAAACTCCACATCAAAGACAACCAAATATATTCCCGTTGGCCCTCCTAAAATTGACAGTGGAGAAAATTGAAATGCAGTGACCACAGAAGGTTGAAATTTAGTGTTTTTTTTTTCATATTTTGACAACTTAAAGGTAAATGAAAAAAATTGAAAGTACTTGGAGGCTTGAAAGTCACAAAATAACGTTTGAAACTAGGTTATAAATGTGTTACGAATGTATAATCAGGTTATAAAGGTGTAGTGTCAATGTAAATAGGCCCAGTTTAAGGTTCCATTGTTGAAATTGGATGCTGCTGCTTGTGGGTTGTATAATAGGTTTGTGGACTGAGGAATGCTTGCAGATACAGGTGTGGATTGTGGTGCAAAGCATTCCATTTCCAAATCAAAAATAACATCGTTGATTCTTTTCTTAGCAATAGCCAGGTGGCGATCAGAAAACTGTCGTAATGAAGACTCCAGCGATTTTACAAAGGTACTGATGGAATCGTTACGATTTTCCACATTTGGCTGACCAATTGCAAGTGGCAGAGGGGTCTGAAGGCACTTAAATAGCTTCTTTGTAAAGATCCAGTTTTACCTTATACAATAATAATAGTAAAGTAGTAAAGTCTGTTTACGAGCCTAGTGGCCCATTAGACAGGTGCTTAACTCCGGTTTCTGTTGCATGAAGCGACTAGGAGTATTTCTACTCCCCCCTGGATGGGATGCTAGTAGCATTAAATTGCCGGTACCCATTTATACACCTGGGTGGAGAGAGGCACTGTGAGAGTACAGTGTCTTGCCTAAGAACACAACACAATGTCCTGGCCGGGGCTCGAACCCGGACCACTCGATCCGGAGTCGAGCGCACTAACCATGAGGCCACCGCGCCTCCAATAATAATAACAGTGATTGACAGTTCCTTACGAAACTGAGGGTGAATAGTGAAATAGGAAGAGTTATTTAACAGCGCTCTGCCTCGATGCGTTACAAAAGTACAATAAATGAAACGTGTATAGCTACCTCTTCAACATCTTTCGCCTTCTCAGTTTTAATTTTCTTTGCCGGTCTCTCATTTTCTGTAGGATCAAGTGTTGAAATAGCAGGGTCGACGTCGTCACTCCCCTTGATAAACATCAAAGATTTCAAATATCTCCACTGCGATGTATATACGGCGTCCGTACCGGTTCCACTGACCTTGCTGTCTTCTTTTTTAACCTCTCGGTTAAAAAAGAAGAAGAAGAAGGAGAAAAAAAGAAGGCGACCCTCTCTTGAGCAAATTCCACCGATTTTTAATGTCGTTGTGGCTTCTACCAGGGAGAAGCTCGGATAGCTTTGTGTAGCTCAGTTCCTTCAAGTTTCTGTCCTGGTAGGATGAGAGGCTGTGATTCCATAGGATGTCATTTTGTTTATAGTACTCCATCAACTGCTCTGTCTCGTTCTCCGTCCACTCATTTTCTTCTTTTGCCCTTAGCGAACGAAGAACGTCTTCTTTCATGTAACTTAACGTTTCGAAGAACTTCCACCTGGACTTCTGCCCGTCACTTTCCTTCTTAATTTCCTGTGCCAAGGCAGTCCGTGCAGTATGAAGTTGTCGATTTAGATAGCCTGGCGATAAGTTGTACTTTTCTGACAGTTCCTCTAAGCCTTTCTCTTTTTGCTGCTTGTTTTGCTGCTTGTTTTTTGAATGGACATACGATGAGTCCACCAAACTAGGATAACCCTCCTGCAGGTCTTTGTATAAGGAAAATTTTTGGCTCTTGGAAAGTTTCTGGTCTACTTCAACAGCCTCAAGCTCATCTCCGTCCGCCATGTTTGTTTTAAATTTCCCGCGTCGCCGCGCTTTGCGACAGCCAATCACAAGCGTCCAATTCAAATTTGTTGCAAGGCAAGTTGAAGCTTCAGCAGTAATACGAGCA